CCCATGATCCCAACTCTTGGATACACACCCTGTCTAATCATTTCTCCACAAGTGGGGCACACCTGTGAATATGAAGGATTACCACTCTCGTGGCTAGGTGGCTGAACTCATCAAGAGGGAGCCTCATCTAATTGGGGAGCCTGTACAAGGATCCTGCTGAAGTCAGAAACCAGAGGTTGAAAATGTGAAGGAGCCTATGGGGGGCCACATGGCAAGGACACCTGAGAACAAATGGCCTCTGAGAGCTGACAGTGGTCCCACCGACAGCCAGCAAGACTGCAGGGACCTCAGTCCTACAACCCTCAGCGTGTGAATTCTGCCCATACTATGAGGGAGTCTGGGAGGTCTTTCCCCAGCTGAGCCTCTAGATGAAGACATAGCTGGTTGATACCTTGAATTCAGCCTTGTGAGACCCTGGGCTGAAGATTCAGCTAAAACATGCCAGACTCCTGACCCAAAGTGAGATAATAAATTTGTGTAGTTTTAAGCCACTGAGTTTGTGATCATTTGTTATACAGCAATAGAACCTGGGCTGTCCTATCAAGGGTCCTGCAATGCCTACCCCCAAGGCTGGCCGAGAGCCCAGCGAAATGGTCAGAAACAGCCTGGAGGACAGGCATTGCTCCCTGACCCTAACTGCCTGCTCTACGAGGGCTTCGGCCCATGACACTGCCCTCCTCCAGCAGTCCTGCCCCTTCAGCCAGCTTAGGCCATTCAATCACTGCCTCCGAGGCCTTTCCCACCCTGCCTGGGGTCCAACATCCCCACTGACAGCCCCTCAGTGAGCCATGGCCTTGGGGAGCCCAGGGCAGAGCCAGGACCAAAGGCCAGGGCCCTCATCAGATCTGCCAGGCGGGTTCCTGACCCCTCTTGGGTCACCTGGCTGTGGTCCAGCACAGGCTCTGCACAGACTGAGGGCAAGTATATTGGAGCCATTTCTCTCCGACCTGGTAGGGGCTTCCCTCTACTTTCCTGCCACCATGCTTCTAGGTGTGCCCACCTCACCCTGGCTGCTTCCTTCTTTTCCTTCTACACTGCAGCAGCAGGCTCAGGCACTCTGGGTGAGAGACTTTAACCTCTCTGTGCCTCAGTTTCCCCATCTGTGGCATGGGATCATAACAACAACTTCCTCATGAGGTTGATATGAAGTTATGTGCATTGTAAAAAGCTCGGTACAGCTCTGGCATTAGTAATCACTCAGCAAATGGTGACAGTGATCATTATGATTATCAATATTATCACAGAGTCAAGTCCTGGAACACTGACCTCCCCGCTGTGGCCAGGGCCACACTCTTGCCACAAATATCCTGAAAGCCAGTCCAGGGTCTCTCCTCAGCTCCACCACCCACCCCTTCAGTCCCCCATCCAGCCTGATAACAATTCTCAGAGCCCATACCCGAAGTCTGGTCCCAGGACAGCTCCTCGGGGCTCTTTCGTCCTTCCTGCCCCAGGCTCTGACCTCTGTCTGAAGATTGGCCTCCCTCTGCCCCATCTCAGGAGCCTCTATCCCCTCTAAGGGGCCAGACTACCAGATCTTCCCCTAAACCCAAGTCCAAATACCCACACCCACCTCCAATCACTCAAGGCCTTGCCATGGCTGGGGTGCTGGGGACATCATATTGTGGTAGGAATAGGCTTGACATTGGTTAGATCCCAGTTCAAGTCTCATCTCTGGCTGTGTGACTTCAAGCAAGTGTCATCCCCATTGAGCCTCAGTTTCCTAATCTGTGAAGTAGGGATAATAGCAGTGCCTCCCACACAGAGCTGCTATGAGATCAGGCCACATTCTGGCCCTAACACAGCCTTTTCTCCTTCAATCCAAACTATGCTGCCCCTCTGCCCACTTCTCCAAGCACTTCCATCTCTGTGACTCCCTGCAGTGGCCACCTGCATTGGAGGTCAACCATTGTTAAAGCTTCTCCAGGACCTGGCTGTACTTTCCTCTCAGTGGCCAGCCCCAAAGGGTGGCCAGCAAGAGTCCCTCATTCTCCCCTGCCCTTCAATTTCACTTTTGACTTGATATTCCTACCAGCATCCAAACACACTGGCATTTCTAATATCTTTGATTAAAATAACATTGAGCCCTGGCTGGTGTGGCTCAGTGGGTTGAGTGCAGGCCTGAGAAGCAAGGGGTTTCGGGTTTGATCCCCAGTCAGGGCACATGCCTGGGTTGTGGGCCACTAGACAGGATTCTGCCTCAGGGTTTTTGCACTTGCTATTCCTTTTTCCTCTAACACTCTTCCCCTGGATATCTGCGTGGCTCTCCCTAGCCTCCTTCAGGTATTTACTCAAATGCTATCTTCTCAAGGTGGCCCCACCCCGATACCTTATTTAAACCTCTCTGACTCCTGATTCCTCTTCCCTCATTTCATTTTTGTTTTACCACAGTCCCTATCAATCTCCCACATATACATAATTTATGTTACATATCTTGTCTGCAGTAGACAAGCCTTTGCACACCGATAAGCCCCTGCCCTCTGCCCTTTAAAATGTCAGCTCCACAATTTGTACATGTGCCTGGCACACAGTAGGTGCTCAATAAGTGTTCCTTAAACAAATGGACAAAGAAACACTGGAAATTCCTCATTGATCATTGTCATCCTTTTTCCATGGGCTGCTAGAAAGTGCCAGGGCAAATTTATGGTCCATTCGCCATTCCCACTTCGTATCTTTTGCACCCCTCTGGTCAGATTTTTACCTTGTCATGCCATGAGACTGTGCTGGTCATGTCCCCTGTGACTTATGCCTCAATCTAACAGCACTGATTCTGGCCCCATTGTGCCATTCATTTTCCTTTCTCTTTTCAGCCTAATTTCCACTTCTGCTTTCTTGTCCATGTTTTACAGCCCTTGAACTGAAATCCTTCCAAGCACAAAATAGGTTATAAATAATGGAACAACTGAAACACTGGTCATGTCTATTTTCCCCATAGAATAACCCTCACCTAGGCTAGTGTACTTTCCCAATTACCTGTGGGCCCCAGAGCCAGGTTTTTGCTACACACTGCCTGGGTTGTCTCAGTGGCCTCGCACAGTCCTGCAGGCCCACACAGCTCCTGCTCAGCCAAACCAAGCTTCTGCAAATAACATTTTCAGCTTATGGACCTCCAAGGGCTCCCTCTGGCCAGTGGTTCTCCAGCTACACATCAAGTCTTCCTTGAAAGCTTTGCAATAAAAAAATACAGGGTCTGCAACTTCACTCCAACTAACTGTATCAGAAACTCCAACAGTGGAACACTGGCTTGAGGTTTTTTAAGTATCCACCATTTCCTGCTCTGCTCTCAGGCATATATAAACCAGCCTGCCACCCTGAGGAGCACCAGGTGGGTGAAGTTCAGCAGGATCTGGTTGAATGCTGACCCTCAGAACCTCCCCGACGTGAGGGGGAACATGCAAACATGTGCAAACAAAACCAGGGCAGAACAAGGATTTTGTCGCAGAACTGCTTGTGGTACAGAACAAACATCACCTAACATCTAATAATACCTGGAGTGCTCACTGAGTGCTAGCAATGGTCTAAGCCCTCTGCGGTAGTTTAACTCATGTCATCATTACATCAACGAATAAAGCTGGAAGCGAAAAATTCCATCAACAGTGCTCATTCTCAAGGTAGAGACTACAAAGGCCTCTGCCTTACACCTGCACGGCTAACTCAGGGCTTCCTATTCACCTGAGTCTCCCTGAGCTGATGTGCTCCTCAGGAGCCAAGAGGTTTAGGGGGATTCCATCTGGATTGTGGGGGGTCCTTAGGGTACGTGGAGTCTAGGGTTGTGGGAATGAGGCCACTCAGAGTCCAAGCTGGGGCACCGCATGAGGGCAGGGCTGTGTGCAGTCACAATCTCAGGCTATAAGGTGGGAGATGAGGCCTGTGAGGTCTGAGAAGTCAGTAGGGCGGGGCCGCCCCTCCAGGGACCGGACAGTTAGAAGGCTTGGAGGTGGGGCCCGTACCAGAATTGGTCAGCCAGAGCTCTAGCGGGCGGGGCCAAGCGCCCAGGAGGCGGGTCGAAGCTGGATGCATCCTAGGGTTGGGCGGTCAGAGCGACTGGAGGCGGGGCCGCGAGCCAGGCACGTCCCAGGACCGGCAATCGGAGACCCAGGCCGCACCCGGGCCGCTGGGCGGAGCTCAGAGGTGTCAGGGGGCAGAGCCTGGGCGGAGGGGGCGGGACCAGGCTCAGCGGGGGATGGGGGCGTCTCCTCCCTCGCTCCCTCCCTCCTTCAGGCCGGGCCCCCTCACCCGTGGCGACCGCTTCGCTGGCCGCGCTCCAGAGATATGAGGTAGGCGGCGAGTTTGGCGTCGCTCCAGCCGCTGCGGCGCCGCAGGTCCACCCAGGGCCCGTGCGCCTCGCCCAGGTACACGCGCCGCACGTCGTACTTCTTCCGGGACTCGAGCCTCCGCCGGGCCCGGTCCGACTCCGTGAGCCGCGGCCGACCCCGCGCCTTCCGGCCTGTCGCGCCTTCCTCGGCCACCGCCTCCCCGCCTGCTCCCACCTCAGCCTCCACCTCTGCCTCAGGCTCCCGCTCCGCCATCCCCCCCCCTCCCTGGTTACCAACCTCCCCCGTTGTTAAGAGCCCGCCGGAAGTGGCGTGAATCCTCCGCGCCGCGGGGAAATTTCTCTTGGACTCTTACCGTAGCGTCAAAAGGAGACAGAAAGCGGAAATTGCGCATGCGTGAAACAAGCACGAGGGACAACCCATTTCTCACTTCATTTCTGTTAAACTTTCTAACTTCGTATGGAGGAAAGAGCTGAAGGTTTGAAGACAACCCTGGGAAGAAAGCGGCAGACGAATCCGTAGACCTCGGCAGGTGGGTGAGGGGGGTTTCTCCCTTCACGCCTTTATCCTCAGTGCATGTAAAGGTGGGAGTTGTCACATGAAGGCAAAGGGAAGGCCAGGGATCCGACCTTCCTATCAGTCCTGGATTCTGGAGAGCCCTTGAGAAGCCATGCCACGAGGCATTGAAGGGGCAGGGATGTTACACTGCCAGAGAGGAGGGAAGGCAGCCCCAATCCGGAAAACTTTTATTTGCTCTACATTCAAAGGTAATCTCATGCTTTCACACCAGTCCAAGCCTGTGCCTGCTCAAGCCTCAGCTCTGGCCCTGCTGGTGTCGCTGTGGATCGTCTTCCTCTTCTTCCTGCCCATTGAGTGGTGGTGGGAACGGCTCCTCCAGTCCTGAGGATGCCTGGAGCTCCCCTGTGGACGCTGCTAGGCGGAAGACCACAGGGATCTTGGCTAGGGCTGGGTTGGTCTCCTGCAGGCCCTGGATCCACTTGGCCAATGTGGCCTGGTCATGGGCACCTGCCATACATATGGCGAAAACAGGGCCTTCCTCCACTGTTGGGAGAGACAGGCTCTCAGAATTTGTGCAGTGGGGACTGTGCCAGCCCCCACATCCTACCTCATGCCTACACCACTTACTGGAAAAGGGCAGGGGCTTTAAGCTCCCTTTCAGTGTGTCCAAGCCTTTGCTCAGGATATGTACTCTGCCTAGTCTGCCCATTCCATTCTTCACCTGTGTGATACCTCCTTCAAGATTTCACCAGAAAGTCCTCTCACTCCCCACCTGAGACTGGGTGGTATGCTACTCCCTTGAAACTCCAAGAATGTAACTTGCCTGTTCCCCCACTGGCCCTGTCCTGGTCATACTCAGTAGCCAGCACAGAGGTGCTCTATGACGAAGAAATGACAGGCCTGGAGCCTTTCAGGTGTGTGTATGTGTGGACTTGGGCATCTGCTGGGTCTGTGTTTGGTATCGAGGTGGGGTCTCAGCCTGGGCCCCACTCTTGGACCCCACAGGCCACACCTACCCTAGTGTGTGCAGTCCTGCTCATCCTTGTTTTTACCTTCATTGATGTCAAACTCATAGTCATCCCAGCCGCTCCTCCCGTAGTCCAAGTCCAGCTGCATCGGGTAGTAGAGGTTCCATTCCTCTGGAATTTCTCCCACTTCCTATTCCAGGGAGGAGGGTGCAAGCAGAGTCAGAGGCCCAAGATCTTGCAGCCACCTGTAGCCTCCCCACTACCATCACCAGGAACTGTTACCCCCCTCACAATCTCTGAGCCCCCACCATCCCTCAGGGCAGTGCCAACCCACCGCACTCTGTCCATTTAAGATTTGCGTCCTCACCCTTTCCTCAGGGGGCACCAATTCTGCTCTGAGGATGTGGTAGTAGACACATTTGTTGTGCAGCCACAAAGAGAAGGGGCCCTCGACGAAGATAGGCCGGGCTGGGTTGTGGCGGGCCAGGGCAGCCTGTTGATCAGGACTCTGGATACCTGGTGTGGTAAAACCCATACCCAACGGGCCCTGGTGAGGTGCTGTATCCAAAGGCCCAAGGAGTCCACCCAGCAGGCTTGGTGAAAACCCATGCACAGGGCCTTACCTACAATGTACTGCTCAGTGGGATCCGCTGTACCTGTGGAGTCTTTAGATGGAGGCATCTGCAAAAAAGAGTAGGGGTGGGCCCTGGTGGGGTTGCTCAGTTGATTAGAGCTTTACCCTGATAGGCCAAGGTTGCTGTTCCATCCCGGATCAGGGCAGATACAAGAATCAGCCAATGAATGCATAAATAAGTGGAACAACAAATCAATGTTTCTCCCTTCCTCTCTCTCTAAAATCAATAAATAAAAACTAAAAAAAAAAAAAAAAAAAGAGTAGGGGGTGGAAGCTTGCAGCCCCCAGCCCCTAGGAGGAGCTGGGGAGAAATGGGGAAAGATGGGTCCCAGCAAATTTTGGACTTGTCTACCAGGCATCCTACATGTCACTCAAGCCCATTCCACACTCCTCATGTCTATCCAGTTCAGCATAATAGCTGCTAACATTTAAGAATGCTCACACATCGGGAACCCTGGAGCCCACCCACCTGCATTAAAATCTGGGCTCTGCCAGTCTGTGTGACCTTGGTCAAGTTGCTATACCCATGCCTCAGTTTCTCCAATTCAGATAGGGGTAATAGCAGCACTTACTTGAGATGGTTCTAAAGTGCCAAGAGCAGTGGCTGGCATATAAGTAAGTGCTCAGTGCTTGTGAAATTTAGGGGGAAAAAATCTCACATAAAACATTCCAGGAAGAAGACCCAAGAAGTCATAGTGGTTGCCTTTGCAAAGGACAGGGAGGGAAGGAATGCCCTTTTGTATATTAATTTTACACACTGAATGTAATTCAGAAAACTAAATGAAATTTAATTTTTAAAAATGCACATACGGCCCTGGCTGGTGTGGCTCAATGGACTGAGCACCGGCCTGCGAACCAAAGGTCACCAGTTAAGATTCCCAGTCAGGGCACATGCCTGGGTTGCAGGCCAGGTCCCCAGTAGGGGCGTGTAAGAGGCAACCACACATTGATGTTCCACTCTCTATCTCCTTCCCTTCCTCTGTCTTTGAAAATAAATAAATAAAATATTTTAAAATGCACACATGCTTTGATTGAAATAGCTGAGAGTGTACACTGTTGGCACACATGTTGTCCATTCTTTCAGGTTAAAAAGAATTCAGGTGGATCATGGGTACAAATAGAATGGACCACCAACCATATAATTAAGTGAAATCAGCAAAAGGTAAACGCAGGAGATGTGTAATGCTCTGCCATTGGGGAAACACTTTTTTTTAAATTAAATTTTACGGGGTGACATTGGTTGATAAAATTATATAGGCTTCAAGTGTATAATCCTGTGGTACGTCACCTGTATATAGCCTTCTTTAAAACCCAAAGTCAAATCTCCTCCCATCACCATATATATGATCTCCTTTAGGAGAAACATTTTCAAAAGTTTATTTTTGGGGGTGGAAAAAGTATATATTTTACTCTTGGGCCCTTTTACTGGACAACATATTTATACTGATTTTTCATTTCAAATTTAACAACATGGAATTTTTAGATACACATTTAAAAAAGAAAGAGACAAGAAAAAAATTTGATTATATAACTTTTCATACTAAAAATCTTGTTCCTATCAGTAGTAATATATGTACTACCCATCGATATATGACTTACCATCGATATACATAAAGTTTTGATATTACTACTATCTATAATGCAATGGGATTGAATAAAGGCTTTCTCTGCAGATCTTATTTCTTAGAATACATGTCACTGAGGATGGGCAGTCAGATGACAGTGACTTGGAAGATTTTTTCTGTCATTGGTCACGCTATCAGATATTTAGCTACATCTATTTGTTTTCAATTTTGGTATTTTTTGTTTTAGTTTTTTATTTTTTAAGATTTTATTTATTTTTAGATAGGGGAAGTGAGGGAGAAAGAGAGGAAGAGAACCATCAATATGTGGTTGCCTCTTATGCACCCCTACTGGGGACCTGGCCTGCAACCCAAGCATGTGCCCTGACTGGAAATCTAACTGGTGACCTTTGGTTTGCAGGCTGGTGCTCAGTCCATTGAGCCACACCAGTCAGGGCTTCTTTTATTTTTAAAAACACAATAAACAATTGCATAGTTTAAAAGCCAACCCATTTAAAATAAAACCATGTCTCTAGTCTATTCCTGTTCTCTCTACCCCATCTCCTCTGCCTGCCCAGAGATGAACATTTGTATCCATCTCTGACTTATCCTAGCATTATTTATTTTTGTGAAAATAGGTAAACAGGTATACGCACTTTAATTTTCCTTCTTACACTGAAGATAGCTGACTATACTACTGTGCATACTTCATCTTTTCACTTTGCATTTTTCACAAATCTTTGATCGCGGTGTCACAGTCTAGATGCACAGTTCCCTCTTGATGGATACTTGGATTGTTTCTATTCTAAATCTGGGTAGTGTCAGTGATTTTACCATGCTTTATGTATGTATTTTTCATAGCGAGGCCCAGGAAGATAGAGTATTTATATATATATATATAGGATACAGGTGCAAAAAATATATATATTTGCTTGCAAACACATAGGATCTCTGGAAGGGGACATGGAAATGATCACCTCTGAGGGAGACAGGACTGAAGGGCCAGAAAAGGAGAGAACTCTTCACTCTGTGCTCTTGTTTACTGTTTGGCTTTTTAATGCATTACTTTAAAAAATGAAGAACTGAGTTAGATGCCGAGTTCTCTCACTGGTTACCTCATCACCCACTATCCTATGCCCTCTGTGCTTTCCCCGCACCATCCAACACCATCCACATGGCTACCGGAGAGCACTTGGGAAATCGCAACTCCCTCCAGAAACATGATTTTCACCCCATGCCTCTTCTAGGCTCTTTCCTCACCAACACGTTCAAAAACAAGCTCTTTAATCCATTGTAATCCTACCCTCTTCTCCCCAGCCCCAACCCCCACACCAAAGGAAGACCTTTCAGCATTTCCCTAGACCCTGGCCCATGCTGCTCCCTCTGCCTGGAATACTCTCTCTGACCCTTCTGTCCTGCTTAAGCTCACCTTCACTTCCTCCAAGAAGCCCTCCATGGCTGCCCCTTCTGGGCTACCATGGCCTCCTGAGCTTCTCCATCTTAGTAACAGTGGCTCTGAAAGAAACTTACCAGGGTTGGTCTCCATAAGCAGACGAGTTCTATGAGGGGCTCTCTTTGGATCCCTTGTGTGGCCTGGCATGACTGGGGCCCTCAGGACACGGGGGCAGGATATGGAATATTTCATTTACAGTGACTGAGCAACCAACTTGGAATTGTGGCCTGTTAGGCTGAGTAAAGGGGGACCCAGCCCTGGGTGGCAGCTGAGGGTGTAGACAAGGGTAGATACCTGGTAGACGGTGACTCTGGCGCTGAGGTCAGGCTCTATATGTCGCAGGCCCAACCTGGCCAGGTCAACTGGATCCTGAGGCAGGTCCCGGGGCACAGGGAAGGGGTTGACGTTCTTGAAGCGGGAGAACCACAGCCTCATGCGCACGAACTTGAGCATGGGATGGCTTTTGCGCCCAAATATCTGAATCAGCAGGAACTCTGTCTCCTTGTTGGGCATCACCCCTGTGCCAGGTGGATGGCAGGAGAGCCTCAGGGATGGGGCAGAGAGGGGAGACATCGGAAACAGAGACCATTGGAGGGGCCCAGGACCAAGAGGAAATTATGGTGAGGGTCAGGTGGAAAGAACCAGAGACAGCAAGAATTGAGTCAGGAAATTGATGCCAGAGAGGGAGGAGAGAATCTGAGAGAATTTAAAGGGAAAGTCAGAGGGAGAGAGGAAAGAGATGAGAGGCAGAAAGAGAGACTGGGAGAGGGGGAAGTGGAGCAGGCCAGACAGCGAGGACACACATCAGAGCCAGAGTAACAGAGAGGCCCAGACCTGGGAGAGGTGGGCAGCCACTCCCACACCCTGAGCCTATTGGCCTCACCGTGGTTCTCCATCTGCTCCAGCACAGCAACCCCACACTCCTGCTGCCGTGGGTAGTGGATGAAGATTCTCTGGAAGATGTTGCGAGGACGGAAGACCTCCTTGGGGAAGATGTCGAGCAGCAGGTTGTAGACTGCCAGGTCCTGCTCAACACCATACTCCCGCATCTTGCGCAGGGCCAGGTAAATGAAGTCCACGTGGCCCCGCTTGTGCACGTTGTGCTGTCCAAAGTTCTGCACGGCTCGCACAAAACTGGCCTTGTCCCGGGCCATATCCGGTGACTGCCTAAACAGCTCTTCGTGGGGTGACAGGGCCTTGGTGGGCCCTCGCAAGGGCTCAGGTGGGCTTGGGACCAGAGATGAGTCGGAGTTGTGGGTGGCTGTACTGCAGTGGAGCCCTCGAGGGGCCTGGGAGGGTACCTGGGGACAGAGAACCACTGTTCAAATCTGGTACCTCCCAGTGCTTCTCAGGGACTGCCAGCTGGCTCTTTCCTGGGAGAGATGCCAAGGGGCATCCCTAAGGGCCTCTGAAGAGGTGTGTTGTGGTTACAAACCCAAGATCAGGCACCACGACAGACTGGAGAACACAATGGTAAAACCCCCACGGAGGCAATTCAACAATATTCACCATGAGGACAAACATACCCTCTGTTGCAGCAATCCTGCATCTGGTATTTAAATCTGACACCTCTAAACACACTTGTACCTAATGACTTTTGTGCATCTGTGTACCAGTGGAAATGGCCCCAATGTGCATAGGCAAGGAAATGATAAAGCAAGTGGCTGTGAACTTGGGGAAGGAGCACCTGCTGTTCTAAGACACACTGAGGAAGTCTCATGTTACCTGGATGGGCTTCAAGGTATATACAATAGATCCTCATTATCTGAAGATTCTGTATTTCTGAATTTGCCTATTTGCTAAAATTTATTTATAATCCCCAAGTCAATAATCGCTCATGGCACTTTCCTGGTCCTTCATGGACATGTGTGGTGGAGGTTGAACAAGTTGATGCTCTGCCTTCTAATTTTGGCTCTGATGCACGTTTCTTGCATCTTTTTATTTTTTGTGTATGTGATTTTGCTTTTGAATATGGCCCCCAAGTGAGTTGCAGAAGTGCTGCCTAGCATTTCTACCTGCAAGAAGGTCCTGCTATTGCTTACAGAAAAAAATACATGTGGTAGATAAGCTTCATTTAGGCATGAGTTATAGTGCAGCTGGCTGTGAGTTCAATGCTAATTAATCAGCTATATAGATATTTTTAAAGATTTTGCTCTGGCTGGTGTAGCTCAGTGGATTGAGTGCGGGCCTGCATACCAAAAGGTTGCAGGCCCAGGTCCCTGGTGGGGGGCTTACAAGAGGCAACCACACACTGATGTTTCTCTGTCTTTCTCCTTCCCTTCCCCTCTGTCTAAAAATAAATAAATAAAATATTTTTAAAAATAAAGATTTTATTTATTTACCTATTTATTTTAGAGAGAGGGGAAAGGAGGGAGAAAGAGAAGGAGAGAAACATTGATGGGTTGCCTCTCATATATGCTCCAAGGCATGTGCCCTGACTAGGAATCAAACCCATAGTGTTTTACTTTGCAGGATGATGTCCAACTAACTGAGCCACACCAGTCAGGGCAAACATATATATTAAATAAGGTGTGTTTAAACAGAAACATACATACAATAAGGTTATGTATTGAGTGGTTGAAGAAAATGTGACAAGAGGCTCACAGGAAGCTTATCTCATCCTCCTGGGAGCAAAAGTTTAGGAATCACTAATTCAGTGCATGCAGCAACCTTACACATCACAACTGTGTGAGCAATGAGAACTGACTACATGCGCGTATATTTTTTGTGTCTGTGAAATATCTCTGGGAGGAAATATGGTAAGCCAGTAGCATCACCTGTTGCCTCTGGAGCTCAGCAGAGGCCAGACAGGAGGACAGACCCTTGTCATGATGTAACCTCAGAACTGTTTGAATTTTGAACTATGTTGTCTATTGTAACTAACTGTATTACCTGTTCAAAAGATAAATATCCAAAACTGAGTTAAAGACAGGCAAAAAACCCATAAGAACAAAAACCAAGATTAAAAAATGCAGATTTTTGGAGTCAGCAGGAGGCTCAGCTTGACTGTTCTCTGCCAAGTGACACCTACTCTACAATGCAGGCCTCAGTTTCCTCATCTGTTATGATGGCATCTACCTTGGGTTAAGGAGATCTTGTTTCCAGAATAAGGAGTCCATGGTGCTGGGAGCAGACCAGATCCCTCCATAGCAGAAGTCAGCAAACCACTGCCTTAGGGCAAACTGCCTGCATTTGTCAATAAAGTTTTATTGGAACACGGGCATGCTCATTCATTATGTCTGGCCTATGGCAGAGTTGAATACTTGTGATGGAGACTGTGTGGCTTGCGAAGCCCAAAATATTTACTATCTGACCCTTTATGAAAAAGTGTGCTGACCCCTGCTCTACAGATGATAAGCTAACAAATTTCTTATTTAAATTTGAATTGAATGTTTACTGAATAGTCTTATGTTCCAGGCATTGTTGAAAACTTATTGTACCCATTTTACAGATGAAGAAACTGAGGCCAAGAGGGGGGAACTGGGCTGCATGGTGTAACACAGCTGCAGAGCAGCAGAACTGGGATTGGAGTCTCCACTCTGCTGCCCCAACAGCCACCCTGAAGTGTTGCTTACATAAGGTGACATCAAACAAACAAACAAATAGGCGTTCATTTAAAGTGAAAATGTAGGCAAGTAGGTGGTATGGGCTTAAAACAAAAATTGGAAAGGCAATTCTGGAATACCTAATAAAAGGAGAGACCCCACAAGGGAGATAATGTAAATGAAATGCACAGCGCAGGGCCTGGCACAGAGGAAGGACTCTATAAGAGAGCATTTAATAGTATCACTACCACCATCGTTGCTCTTGTTGCAATCTATGGCCATTGATCAGCCTTGGCCATCTGGTCACTTTGGGTAAGGGACAGAAATTCAGTTTTCCGCCCACATCCTTACCAGTGGATGTAGGAGTTACTCAGAGGTACAACCCAAATGCAGTTAGCTCATACATCCTTCTTTCCTTTTTTTCTTTTTTTTTAATGTTATTTATTTACTTTTAGAGAGAAGGGGAGAGAGGGAGAAGGAGAGGGAAAGAAACAGCAAAATGTGAAAGATACATCAATCTGTTGCCTCTCACACATCCCCAACTGGGGACCTGGCCCACAACCCAGCCATGTGCCCTGACTGGGGATTGAACCAGTGACCTTTCAGTTCACAGACCAGCGCTCAGTCCACTGAGCCACATCAGACAAGGCTACATCCTTGTTTTCAAATTCAACCCTCTGATACATGTGGGCAGCAGCACTTTTTAAAATGAGTAAGAAACATTCAGTGGGCCCTCAGAGCGGATAGACCAGCCCACATCTGTCTCTCCGCGCCCCTCCCCCACAAGCTGGCTTTACCATGGGGTGGATTCTAAAATGCTTGGGAGCAAATCCCAGGCCTGTCTGCCTGCCTTTCTCCACCCTGATGACTGCTTGGCTGGCAGTTACCTGAGAGAAGGGGGCTCTCGTGAGGATGGTGCCACAGACGCCTCTCCAGCCCTGAGAGAGGCTCCGGGCTAGCAGGATGCCTTGGGCCCAGCTCATGCCTCTGCTTGTTGGACAACCACCTGGATGAGGGAGAAGAGACAGCATCAGGCTGGCACCCCGTCCACCAACGGAGATGAGACTCCTCTCTTCGGTAGAGGCCACATCCAGACTGCACAGCTAAGTCACCAGCCCCACTGGTTTCCTCACCCGCAAGAAGGAGCTTAAATGACTGCTACAATCAGGGTCCTTGCTCCACTATCTGGAGGAATTGCTATCATGGTCCCCTACCCTACCAGGCCATTTTTTAAAAAGTTTTCAATTTTTTTAAATACACATCATATTATATTTTTCCATTACCATTTAGTCCCCTATACCTTTCTCCCCCCAGCAATCATTGCCCTGTTGTCCACGTCCATGAGTCCTTTTTCTTTTTCGCTCAATTCCTCCACCCTCTATCCTACCCCCACCACTAGCTGTTCTCCATACTAGGTCATTTTTTAACTTTAGTCATATACTATACAGTCCACCTTTTAAAGTTCATTTTTTTAAGTATATTCAGAGTTGTGCAACCATCACTGTAATCTAATCTTAGAACATTTTTCTCGCTCTGGAAAAAAACTAACCATCACTCTCATTTCCCTTCGTGCTCAGCTCTAGACAAGCAGTAACTTTCCATCTCTATAAACTTGCCTACTCTGGGCGTTTCATACAAATGGAATCATAGAACACACGTTCTCTTGTGGCTAGCACTTGTCTATTCCTTCTTGAAGATTTTATTTATTTTTAGAGAAAGGGGAGGGGAGGGAGAAAGAGTAGTGAAGCATCGATGTGAGAAACATTGATTGGTTGCCTCTTACACGTTCCCTGACTGGGGACTGAACCTGCACCCCAGGCATGTGCCCTGACTGAGAATGGAACCCATGACCCATCTCTTTGCAGGACAATGCCCAACCAACTGAGCCACACAGGTCAGGGCAAGGCTAGCACCTTTCATTTAGCATGTTTTCAAGGTTTATCCATGTTGTAGCATGTATCCAACTTCATTCCTTTTAATTGCCAAGAAATTTCCATTGTATAGATACAACGTTTTATTTATCCATCCATCAACTGATGGACATTTGGGTTGTTCCCGCTTTTGTTTTTAATATTATGACTAACGCTGCTAAAAACACTCATGTAGAAGCTTTTGTGTGAACATGTGTTTACTCTTCTCTTGGGTATATACTTAGAAGTCATATTGCTGGCATATATGGTAACTCAATGCTTAACATTTTGAGGAACCCTGAAGCTGTTTTCCAGAGTAGCAGTACCATTTTACATCCCCACCAGCAATGTATAAGGGTTCCAATTTCTCCACATCTCCACATCCTTGTTAATACTTATTGTGTCTTTTTGAGTACAGACATCCTATTGAGTGTGAAATGGTATCTCCTTGAGGTTTGGACTTGCATTTCCCTAATGACAACGAGCTTTTCATGTGCTTATTGGCTATTCTGTATCTTCACTGTGGAAATGTCTATTGATCCTTTGTCTATTTTTAAAAATGGGTTATTTCTCTTTTTATTATTGAGTTGTAAGAGTTCTTTATATATTCTGGATACTAAACCTTGATGATTTAAAACTAATGTCTCCCATTCCTTGGGTTGACTTTGTACTTGTCGTCACTGCAACACAAGTTTTACATTCTGATGAAGCCCATTTTATGTTTTTCTCTCCTAGTTCTGCTCGTGATGTTGTAACTGCAGAACAATTGCTGAGCCAAGGTCATGAAGATTTTCTTCTAAGACTTTTAGCTCTTATTTTTAGGTGTATGACCCACTGAGTTTTTGTGTATTGTGTGAGAAAGGGGTCCAGTTATCCTAATACTGTTTGATGAAGAGACTATTCTTTCCCCATTTTATTGTCTTAGCACTCTCACTGAAAATTAATTGAGCATAAATGTTAAGGGTTTATTTTTATTGTTTTCATCCTCCAAATTTGGTGTCATTTTTATCCAACAAATAGATAACCAGAGTACATGCACAGGGAAAGTTGGTAAGAACCAAGGTCCCTGCCCACAGTACAGGGCTGGTTCTCATAATCCAGTTGCCCCATCCTTCACAGCTCCTCAGGTGTTCTGGGGATCTGGAGAACCGTGTTCCCTTGCTTCCAAACTCCTACAGAATGCAGCACTTGTACATTGGAGTCAGGAATGCCTGGAGAGACTCTCCAACCCAAGAGCTTCATCACACAAAGAACGTGAAGCTCACAGAGATAGAGGGATTAGTTGGTGACAGAGCCAGGGCTTCAGGTTGGCTCTCTTGACTCTAGGTACCATGCTCCAGCTATAGCACCATGCTGCCTTCCCATTCAGCCTGGAACAGGGCAGGCAGAGTCTTTAACCCAGATTCTGCCAAGCCTAACTCCTTTATTAGCAGTTACTCCGAGAGCCACAGGAATGCTGCTTGCATGAGACCTCAGAATTAATCTGCTCTCCACAAGCTCATCACACTGCCTATAAAGGCAGACTGACAAATGATGCCCCTAAACATTTACTGATTACACCATCTTTGAGCCTCTACCATGGGCCAGGAAATGAGTTAGGTATAGATATAAGGGACACACATGAATAGGATAGAGTGGCTTCCCTACAGCTATCAGCCTCAGCCAGGTCACAGACATGACCTGCTGCAATGCTATATGAAGTGAGTGTTCTTACAGCATTATTAATAAGTACCATGGGGTCATCAATAGGCCGCTTCTGGAAGAGTAAAGCAAGGTGTCACTTGAGCTGGCCTTGAAGAATAAGTAGGAAAAGACAAAGCAGGCATGGGATGAGAGTGCAGGCAGAAGGAAAGAGAAGACAAAGGTATGAAGGGAGAGTCAAAGCCCAAGCATGCTTCAGACCTTCAAGTATTCTGGATGGCAAATGAGTCAGGGTTATGGTGGAGGGAGATGGGAATGAGAAGCCAAAGGGATTTATTTCTGGGCTCTCAGTTCTATTCCCTTGATTTCTATGTTGGGGCTTATGCCAGTACCACACTATTTTGCTTATTGTGGTTTTATAAGTTTTAAAATCAGGAAACATAAGTCCTCCAGCTTTGTTCTCCTTTTACAAGATTGTTTCAGCTATTCCCAGTCCCTTGCAATTACACGTGAATTTTAGAATCAGCTGCAAATTTCTGCAAAAAGCCAGAGGGATTTTGACAGGGATTGTGTTGATTCTGTAGATCAATTTGGGGAATATTGGTGCCTTAATAAGAATATTAAGTCTTCTGATCCATGAACATGGGCTACCTCTGTGTTTATTTAGATCTTTTTTATTGTATTTTTTCCATGACCATTTATTTAGTTCTTCAATTTCTTTCAACAATGTTTTATAGTTTCAGTGTACCAGTCTTTTATTTCTTGTGTTAAATTTATTTGTATTTCATTATTTATGAAGCTATTATATATGGGAGTATTTTCTTCATTTCTGAACTGGTCATTGCTAGTACACAGAAATAGAACTTATTTTTACATGTTGATCTTGTATGTATACTGCAACTTTGTACAACTCGCTTATTGGCTCTAACAGCTTTTCATTGGATTCCTTGTCATGATCATGTCATCTGCAAATAGATTTACTTTTTTAACCAAATAGATTTAACCAAAGCCAGTGATTACTTCTCAGACCTCCTTTTGCTTGATTTCTCAGAAGCATGTGGCACTGGTGAGGCCCTCCTCCCACCTTTTCTTGACACTTGGTTTTCTTCTCAGCACCCAGGTCTGTTTCGCAGTTAATCAACAAAACCCACTTCTTTCTTTAAAGTTTACAATGTTTGCAAACTTGAATGTGCAGACAAATCACCTGGGATCTTGTTAAAAGGCAGATTCTGATTCAGCAGTTCTGGGGCGGAGCCAGACTCTGCTACATATCTGACAAGCTTCCAAGTGATGCTGCTGCTGCAGGTCGGGAAACCACACTTTGAGTAATAAGTTTGCAGAATCCCACATTCTGGATCTGTCTGTCTACTCTCCTGAGATGTGTCACCAACTTGTTCTCTCTTCTTTGTATTTCTGTAGGCATCTCTAATGGTTCTCAAACTTTGTTCATATTAGAGTTATCTAAGGAGCGGTTTAAAATCCCCACGCCTAGGCCATACCCTAGATATATTAAATCAAAATATCTAGAGGCAGGGCTGGGCATCAACATTTTGGCACATTCTGATGACTCCCATGTGAAGCGAAGATTAAGACCTTAATTTAAACCTTCACTACTCAAAATGTGTTGCAGGGATCAGCCACATTGGCATCATTATCTGGGAGCTTATTAGAAATGCAAAATATCAGCCCTAACTCAGACCTACTGAATCAGAATCTGCATTTCAACCAGAGTCCAGGTTTCTTCTCTGTGTGTTCAAGTCAGAAATGATGATCCATATGCTGATGGATCCAAATGTTGATTGCCAGCCCTGAGCTCCAGCCTTCATACCTCACTACCACTTTGGCATATACCCAGTCGTTTCAAACTTAATTTGCTTCAAGCTGAGATCCCTGCTTAAATGTGTTCCTCCCCATCCCAGCCAATAATACCACCATTCCTAGTAATTCAGGCCTAAAAGCTAGAAGTCATTGCTGAGTCCCCTGTGTTCCTCTCTCTCTACCCCATTCAATCCATCAAATAATCCTGGTGACTACTTCCAAATTCACCCCAAATGCATCCATTTCTCTTCATCTGAAGGCCAGCACCTCTTTGCCAGCCTCCCACTTATTTCCTTACTTGCTTCCAGTCTGTTGTCCCCACCTTGGCCAGAGGGAGCTTTTTAAAATGTGAATTAAATTCAGTGTTCTCTGCCTGAAATTGTTAATGGTATTATCACACTTAAGATAAAATCAGATAGGGTCTACCCCTCCAAACTCAATTCTTATTACTGGCAGCTCCAGCTATACTGTTTCTTGAACAAGCTAAGTTATTCCAGTCTCAGAGCCTTTGCACTTGCTTTTCCTTCTGTTTGGAAATTTCTTCCCCCAGATCAGTCCCCAGCTGTCTCTGGTCATTCAGGCCTATATTCAAATGCAAGGCCTTTCCTGACAGCTTCCCCACTCCCTATCTAAAGCCCCCACCATCCCGATGAATGCATTTTTTTTTTTTTTAAGCAGCTACTGGCATCTAAAAACACCCGTTCCTTTTATTTCTGACTTGTTCAATGTCTGGCTCCCCCAGTGGACGGAGGATTTTTGTCTGTCTTCCTCTGCTGTGTCTCCAGTACCCGGGACGGTGCCTAGTATATGATAGGCGCCTAGCAAGTATCAGTGGAATAGGAAGCAGAGCCAAATTTCTACAAAACGTCTGTAATTTTTAAATTTGAACCCCGTAGTGGAGTGTACCTACAGCAACTCTGAGGCTGGCTGCCAGAATTCTGGGTTCGTCGGGAGAAAGAGGCAGACGCGGGTCGAATTCCAGCCTGCGTTCACCTGCGGTGTGACCTCAGGAGAGAGCCTCAACCTCTCTGGGCCTCAGCTGTCCCTTCTGCAAAATGGGAAATTAAAGACGTGAGAAGGTGAATACACAGAGGGCAGTTTTTCCCTGCACGTCCCTGACCAGTAATCCAAAAGGTCATGGGTCCCTGGGTCAGCGGCCAGGTCCCCCTGGGGCCACCCTCCCCCGCTGCCAGCCTACAGTGGGCCGCTCCGGGGCCCTGTAGTTTGCAATGGTCTCCCGACGCGCGACCTACCTACTAACGCAGATGGCCACGGACTCTGAGCCGGCTGTTTCTTGCTGCTGGAAGTCGCCATGTTGCCCGAAGAGTTTCCGGGTCACGGGCCACTAGGGAGACAGTAATTCTAGAGCGCCGATTTAAAGAGGTCCCACCCAAAAGCGAGGGGCACCAATAGGAAGGGGGAACGACAGTGGTACAGCCTCACAACGAGCTAAGCCCCGCCCCTAATAAGGCAAACCACATCTCTGATCTGGGAATTGAGTATTTCCCTGGAAAGAGTGCATCGTTTCTAAGGAGGGCGGGTGGACTGTGGGGAGGCGGTGGGGTGGGGGACATTAATCCAACTGGAAGCCCCAGTTTTCCTGTCTGATATGTGGCAATGAAGTAGTAAGAATGGAAGTACTGCCAATGTGTGAGAAATGCGGTGTCCGGGCCCTGGATTTTTACCCTTCCTTTCTGTGCTGCAGGTCCCTGATCCCCGGATAATCCCTTTGCCTTCGAGCATGGCGCCTTGAGAAAATGGTGCAGCTGGTATCCACCCAGATGGCGGTAGGAGCTAGGTACAACCTGCTCTCCGTGGAGACAGTCAGCCTCACTCCATGAGTCAGCTGGGCCGGGGTGGATATTTCCACTTCACTCTCACCCCTACTCTGAGCTCCTGGGCGGGGACCTGGTAGCTTGTGGAAGTGGGGTGAGGGCGGGCGCGGGTGGACGCTGTTGAGGGTCTTCAGTTGAGGAAGGGACCCCTCCAGGAACGTTCTCCGAGCAAGGATTGCACCACTACAGAGCCTCGTGAGCCAGCCCGCTTTCTCTCTTTACTCCAGCCCAGGCAGAAGTCTACCAAGGTCCTTGACCTCTCCATGCCCGGTCTGCAGCTACCCCATACAGAGTTGTCCAGAAGTAGGGTGGGGGTGTCAATGGTCTTCCTGCTCCCCTTGACCTACAGACTTTGGTTGATACCTCTGGGTACCTGCTCCATGGCAGGTGGGGTCCAGCCAGGTGGATCCTGGGTCACATTCACTCAATTCCCTGCCCACCTCCCGCAGCACCTGGTGTTGATCCACTGTAACTAGGGCATCACATGTCCCTGGGTTATCATGCAGTTTCTCTCTTCAGCTTCACCACTTTGAGAAAAGATCCTTTGTGTTAGGGTGATCGGTGATGCGAGCTGTGAAAGAATTCACAAAGAGAAGAAAGTGCAGAGAGTAAAAGTTCTTATTTTATTTTCCCAAGGAGGGAAAGGGCTAGGTGCAGGCATATGCATCAGCACCAATCCTGATGGGTCGGGGCTTTGAGCTTTTATTAGGTGATTGAGGTGGTTGTGAGCAGGATGCTTCAGTTGGTCCTGTGGAGGCTGTAACGTGTTTCAGTGTTATCTTTGGGCAAAGGGTCCAGTCTTCCTGTTGCTGTGCTCTGGTTTTGTAAATTCCTGGAGCTTTTGTGCCCTCAGGGAGCTTCCAGTAGTTTTCTAGTCCTGTGGATAAAGGCTCATAAAATAACTAGGGACAGTCATGCCTTAGGGGTCCAGTCAGCTCTGGGGAAGAAGGTCTGAGAAAGTGGTTTTTGTCCTATTGCTGGGATAACACCTCTCTCCCTCTCTCCACCACATATGGAACATCTCGTGTGAGCTGTTATAAGCTCCGTGAGGAAAGGAAGATTTTGTTTGTTACACATATTGTCCCCAACATTAGAGACAGAGCCTGGAACATGGTAGGTGCTCAATAGATGTTAGCTACAAAACAAATAAACAAGCCCTGGGCGATATGGCTCAGTTGGAGCATTGTCCCATAACTGAAGGGTTGCAGGTTTGATTCCTGGTGGGGCATGGGTTTGACCCCCAGTTTGGGTGCATATGGGAGGCAACCAATCAATGTATCTCCCATTGATGTTTCTTTCTCTCCCTTCCTCTCTCTCTAAAAGCAATGAAAAATATGTCCTTGGGTGATCATTTAAAAAAATCAGTGAATGAATGATTGTTCCTGATGCTCATTCCAACCTTTAAACCCCAGCAACTGTCCCTTGTGACTGCCTGTCTTGTACCTGACTAATTACCCCATCTCTGTCTTCCCCCATCGTTCCCCAGCCCCAGGGCAGGCTGTAGTATTTCTAAGAGCTCTTTGCCAATTTGTGTCTTCTCTCAGCCCTTTGTCAATTTTGGGTACTTGGGTCTGCGGACATGTGAGGGTCTTCCTGCTCCTCGCCTGCATTCCCCATTCCCTCCCTCACCCTGACCCCAACTCTCTTGGCCACAATAGGTTGCTGAGTATAACCTGCCACCCCTGAAAGTTGTAAGTGGCCTTACTGAGTGGTGTGCCCTTGGCTATAGTCTGTGTAGCGAGAATCACTATGGTGTTTTAAAGTTTGAGGGGTGTTGACTTGGGCCACATTGGACCTGGGCATCCTCAACATTCTACGGATGTGCAATATCACGCTATCTAGAGTCTGAGGTTGGGGAGCCCTCATGTCCCAAAGCACAGTGTGGGAAGGAATTGGAAAAATGTGGAAGAGCTATTCTAAACCCTGCTGCAGACTTGGACTCAGGGCCAAAGTAGGGGAGGTTGTGCAGAGGAACCTGAGGCTGTGCCCATCCCACAACCAGAAGGCTCAGACTCACTCAACAAGCCTTCACTGAGTGCCTCCTTTGTACCAGTCACTGTTCCAACCCTCAGAGAACAGCAGCGAGCAAAAAAAGGGGAGCTGGCACTCTAGTAAGGGAGACAGACAGATGACCCATGTTCTATAGAAATATTTTACAGCTATTTGTAGCTTTTAAAAGATTAAGTGCAACTGTAAAGCTGTTTAGGATACGATTTTGTCTATCATCTTGTTAACTTTAATCTACTTTTGAACTTCAGACATGTTACTTTCTATAACTAACATTTTTAGTCCCTTTTTGCTGGTGTGTAGAGCTTTACTCTGTGTTCTATGTATTAGTTTAGGTATTTTTAAGTATGTCTTCTGTCATCTGCTGTCTGAAACAAACATCAAAATACATTCATTAATTCTACAAATGTTTATATGTATCTTAAAACATATGGGTTGTGTGCTAGATCCAGAAGGAAATATAAAATTAATTTGAGGAAGGAAAAGAAATGTAAGTTCTTCAAGTGCTTAGAATTTGTTTCCAAATTCATGAAGTAAAAATGGAAAATGCTATATGTGATTAACAAAATGGTTGATATTAATAGACTAAGAATTTTTTAAAAGTGTTTTATAGCTTGAGCTGTGTGGCAATTTTATGGTGCATATATATATATATATAAATTCATTGAGCTATCCATTCAATGTGCATTTAACTTTAATATCTTAATTAAAAAGTTTTAAAAACTGATCATTGATTCATTGTGCTATACGTTTTACACTTAAAAAAGGATTTTATTTATTTATTTTTAGAGAGAGGGGAAGAGAGGGAGAGAAACATCAATTGTGGTTGAGTCTCAGGCACGCCCTACTGGGGACCTGACCAACCCAGGCATGTGCCCTGACTGGGAATCCAACCCACAGCCATTTGGTTTGCAGTCAGGCGCTCAATCCCCTGAGCCACACCAGCCAGAATGTTGTACACTTTTCTATATACATGATATACTTTAAAAGTCTTTTTAAGCCCTGGCTGGTGTGTCTCAGTCTATTTAGTGCCTGCCTCAAACTGAAAGGTCACTAATTCGATTTTTAGGGCACATGCCTGGATTGCAGGCTAGGTCCCCAGCTGGGGGCACATTAATGTTTCTTTCCTCTTTCCCCCTCTCTTCCCATCTCTTTCTAAAATATAAAGTTAAATTAAAAAATTTTAAAGTCTATTTAAACACTTTACACCAATTAGAATGGCTATTATTTAAAAAAAACACACACACACAACAGAATCTAACAAGTGTTAGTCAGGGTGTGAAGAAACTGGAATCCTTGTGCACTGTTGCTGGGAATGTAAAATGTTTCAGCCACTACAGAAAACAGTACACTGGCTCCACAAAAAAATTAAAAATAGAGCTACCATATGATTCAGCAATTTTACTTCTGGGAACAGAAAAATTGAAAGCAGGAACTCAAACGGGTAGGTACTCACTATATTCATAACAGCATGATTCCCAATTGTGAAATCAACTCAGGTGTCCATTAACAGATGAGCTAATAAACAAAATGTGATATGTACATACAAGATCCTGTTCTTTTGTGAATAAACCATTCACAAAAGGACAAATACTGTATGATTCCACTTACTTGAGTTCCATAGGGGAGTCAAATTAGCATACAAACAGAAAGCAGAATGGTAGGTGCCAAGGACTGAGGGAGAGGGAATGAGGGTTAATGGTTACAGAGTTTCAGTCTTGGAGGGTGGTACACAACATAATTGTCCTTAATAACATAGACTTGTAAACTTAAAGTGGTACATTTCACGTTATATATTTTACTGCAATTTTTAAAAAAAGTCTGCTAAAGAAGATGTGACAAGGTTAGATTAGAGTGGGGGGCGGGCTTCTGGATTCCCCGAATATGCTATTACTAACCTAAGTGGATAATCACATAAAATGGGGGCTTGGCAGTAGCAGAGGCTCCAGGCGAGGACAGTTATTCGCCCCGTAAAGCCATTTCTGTAATCCCTTCGCTTCCATGACACGGAGCTGACAAGGAGATACAGCCACCTTTAGGATGCCTCAAAGACGCGCAAAGACGGGAGGGCGGGCCCCATAAAGAAGCCTGTGATTGGCCGATCTGGTGGGCGCTGCAGCCAATCGGCTACTGGTCCCGGAGGATTTGCATCCCCCTCCCCAGCACGTTGACAGCCACGTGGACTGCTCCTATGTACCCTACTG